AGAGAGAGAGAGAGAGAGAGAGAGAGAGAGAGAGAGAGAGAGAGAGAGAGAGAGAGAGAGAGAGAGAGAGAGAGAGAGAAGATTTAGACTCACTGTCCTATGAACTGAGATGACGTAAGTTCAAGAGACTGTCCATAAGACCTGCCAGGGGTTTTGTGCTAAACGTAAGTGGAAGAAAGACAGACCAAGCCATGGAACACGGCCATGGGACCAAGCCATTGGACGATGCCCTCAGACAAACTTCCATGAGTAGGTGGCATACCTCTTGGATGATGCGCTGAACAAAATATGGTTGATGTCAACAACAAAAGAACCTGGAGCACGAACAAATGCAGCGTGTTGCCCTCCTGAGCTTGGTGCCAACGAGAGCCGTAAACTGCTGACGTCAACAGAAATTGGCGAATCCGGACCAAAACTGCCCTCACAAACAGCTGTGGGTGATGGACGACTGACATGAGCGGATAACAACCGTAATTCATTACAACTGAGGACAAGAACCGACCCTGCCACGTCTTCACCGTGTCTGTCAGAAAGATAGGTTCTGTTACTTGAGCACTATCATGATGGCGAACACTGCACCGACATGTCGTCATTATGACATAATCATACGTATACCATCTTCCTTATCTACATAAGCACAAGTGCTTATTACATGGTATACTCCTTCAGTCATTGGTGGGGCTAATGTCTTGGATAAAATATGGATAAAATATGGATAAGATATGGATGAGATCGGATAAGATTGCATAAGATTGGGAAATTGGGTAGAGATCGGATAAGATTGGATCAAATTGTTGGATAAGATTAGATAAACATTGAACAAAGATTGGGTAAGATTGGATAAGGTTGGATAAACTTGTTGGATAAAATTGGATAAGATATCAGGGCAAGCTGCGCCAAGCAGGGGAGGACGATCGAGAAGATATAAAGGCAATGAGAGCACTCGTTTCATCAACACCTGGATGTGATCACACCAGATAAGATTGGACAAGAGTCATCTGACTGAATACAATTCCATCGGATAATGACACATCAATAGCCATCTCTCCCTCCCTCCCTCCCACCCTCTCTCTCTCTCTCTCTCTCTCTCTCTCTCTCTCTCTCTCTCTCTCTCTCTCTCTCTCTCTCTCTCTCTCTCTCTCTCTCTCTCTC